AGAGGGCACAGACCCTCTTCTCTGTCTCCAGCCTGCGCCTCCCCAAGCTCCTGCAGGCTGGCGCCCAGGGAGTGAGGAGCGGTGTCCCGTCAGCCGGCCTCTCCTCCCTGCAGTCTCCATCGCCAGCCCCACAGGCAGCGCCACCTCCTCAAGTCTTCACTGTGTGAGAGGCCATGAGTGTGGCTGGACGGCCAGCAGCACCAAGCAGTCTGTGTCCTCAGAGCAGCACAGTGCACGGACAGACAGACAGAGGTGACGGAGCCCAGGCAGGGCGCAGAGACCCAGGCAGTGCGCAGCGCTGTGAGTGACACAGGGCGGGGAAGGGCGGAGAGGCTGGGGAAGAGCAGACTCTCTGAGCCCGTGTGTCTCAGCAGAGACCTGAACCCAGGACATAGGTGGGACTGTCCGGGGAACAGCAAGTGCCAGGCTAGGTGGGGACACCGCACCTGTCCAGCAGCAGCCTGAGGTCCAGAGTCACTGGACATGACGGATAAAGGACAGAAGTGTCAGTGCCCAGGTGCGGAGCTTGGCAGGGCTCAGTCCCAAGTGTTCTGGGGCTCTGATGGAGCCCAGGTACCACTGGTCATTTGCTCAGGGAGGGTCCCAGCTGACTGCTGTCCCAGCACTCACTCTGGAGTCCCTGTGGACTGAGCGATGGAGCAGAGCACGGTCAAGGAGCAGCCATTGTCACTCTTTCCTGCTGCAGAGCCCTGAGCACGGGGACCGGCAGGAAGGGACCCACACCCAGGGGCAGCCTTCCGGACAGACATGTGGTGAGGTCTCCCCTTCTTCGCCCATGACAGGGCCTTTCCTGGACCTAGAGAAAACAGGCAGGGAACAAGCAGGTGAGTTGCATCACCTGCAGGTCCCAGGTTTTCCCAGGCTGCACCCTCACGCCAGTCTCAACTCTTGCTTCCCCCAAGGACCTGACTCTGAAGGACCCCAGGGAGTGACCTGTGCCCAGCTGAACAGCCTCAAGCTCAGGCTGAAGCCAACCACAGCCCCTTCGTCCCAGAAGAGGAGCCCCCAGCTGCGCCCAGTGCATACACACGCCTGGTACTGCAGGAGCCCAGGAGAAATCTCAGACCCCACAGGGCAGGGATTGACAGATGGTGGCCTAAGGAGGGACAGGAGCTGCCCCATGCACACTCAGCTAAGGACCATGGGCGGCCTGGGGTCCTGCATGGGACCCTGGGGGATTCTAGACATCACCCGATCCTGTAGTCCAAGGGAGCTGCAAGATCACATCTGAGTATTTGAGTTTTAAATATAACTAAGACTCAGCCAAGGAAATTACAAAGTGATCAATTTATCATAAGATTAAGAGCACACACCAAGCTTACAAAGTATCTATACTTTACAGTAAATGAAAGCTTTATATATACAAATTGAACCAGAAAAACACTAAAAATTCAATGATTTACGTGTGTATAAAAATGGCATTAATCTTGACAAAATAAGAAAGTAGGAAATACTGAGCATAGTAACCAAAGTAATTTAAATTAAAACAATATAAATATAAACTTGTCTTTAAAATCTAATAAAGTTAATAAAACCCTGGGGACATTGCAAAGGAAAACAGCATTCACAAAACAAGTAAAGAGGAGGTGTGTCAGCCTGGGCAGGTGGGGAGACAATGTCCCCACCAGAAACTCTCCCTCATTTTCATTAGAGGAAAATGACAGCGCAGGACCCCTGGGTTAAACAGGAGCAAACAGCACACCCTGGGGTCCAAAAATGTGAGCAAGGTGGGGCTGGCCTGAGAATCACGGCTGCGTGAGCAATTTGTATCATCAGTTGAGGTAGACCCTCTGGGGTCGAGGGACCTGGGCCCGTGGCAAGCAGCGGCACGGTGAAGAAAGAGACACCGGAGAGCAGGCTGATGGTGCAGATCTACTTTATTGCGGAAGTACCAGGCATTTTATAGAGCAGGCAGGGGCGTGGTGAAAGGGGGCGTGGTTATCGAGGGGAGGCACCGAGGGAGGGGCAGAGCGGGACAGCCTGGGCGGGGCCACTCACTCGTCCGCCGAGGACAGGACAAGTCTAAGTCTGCTTAGACTCGTTCCTCTGCCATGGCCGTCAACCAGACCTCTGGGCCCTTATTCCCCACAATCAGTGTATTTTACTGCATTTATAGAAAGAAGAAAAATTGTGTTCACCTGACCAGATGAAGAAAAGGATTCTACAGAAAGTCAGCAGTGTTCACAATTTCAAATACTAGGATAAGTGCTTGACTGAATTGCAAAGAAATTTACAAAGGACCTGGAAGAAGCTTCCTACTTACAAAGGAAGTTTGATGTCTTTGCCCCCAAAATTAGGAAGGACAGAAAGAACTGAGTCACTGGGCTTCTGCTCAACATCTCTGGAGGTCCAGGCAAGGGCGTGAAGGCAGGATGATGACGACAAATAGCAATGACAGTGATGGCGGAGACAGCTGAGGAAGGAGCTGTGATTGCAGAAACTCAAAAAGTCAGTGTGTGAGGGCAGCCTGATTGTGTACATGGAAAACAGAAACAAAAAAATAGTGGAGAAAAGGTAATAAACATCCAAATACTGGATGCAAATGAAAACGTGTGACTGCAGACATTGTGGATTTCGGCAAAGGCAGACAGAGCCGACCCAGCAGAGGAAACCAAGGAGCCCCTCAGCCTGTGCTCCCAGGAAGTCCAGGCGGTGAGGACGCGCACACAGGGGCGTGTTAGGAAGGGTTTCCGGGGTGGGGAGAGAAGCAGAGGATTGAGAGGATAGAGAGGAAGTTAGAGCCGGAGAAGGCAGGGCAAACCCAACTCCCAGGAGGTGACCTAGGACAGTTTCCCAGGAGACCGTGACAAAAGGACTATTCACCACAGAAAGCAACATAAAAGTCAGCAGGAAACAAGGACAGAAATCCTTAGTAAGTGACAAGGAGATCCAGAGAAGGAGGGAGAAGGAAGAGAAGGGAAATAAAAGAATTAAGATGTTTTCTGTACATGCATCTACCCCCAGGGTGAATGTAAACAGGATTTCCTGCAAACGTGTACTCATCTAATATTCAAAAAAGGAAAAAACTTTAACACTGAAAGCACGGGTAGTTCTCTGTCCCTCTGTCTCTGTCTCTGTCTCTCTCACTGTCTCCCTGTCTCTTTCTCCCCAACTCTCTGTCTCTGTCTCTCTGTGTCTCTCTCTCTCTCCCCCTGTCTCCCTCCAGGCTGCTGTGAGCCTCTTTCCCTGACCTGTGCTATGAGGTTTCTGTCTCCCCATGGCCCTAAAAGCCGTGGAGCTGGAGACTGTGCACCGCAAACCCTGGAGCTGTCAGTTGCAATAAACATTTCCTCATCTAAGATTTTTCAGGTATTTTGTGCCACCAACTAAAAGCTAACACATCTACCCCACAAAGAGTACTGGAGGGAGTTCTTCACATTTAGACTGAACCACAGCACGGGGCTGGGTGTAGCTCAGTGTAAGGCACCTGCTCAGCGTCCACGAGGCTCTCGGTGTGATCAACCAGACCCCACAAACAAAATGATGACATAAACCCGGCAACATGAAACCATTTCCCACTGCAAGATTCGTGGGTTAAGTGAGTATACGAGAAAAGGCAGTATTCTGCTACACCATAGCGGTGTGTAGATCACACTACCTCTAGTGTGTAAGTTACACACAGCACAGCTGGGGTGGAGCTCACTGATAGAGCGCTGGCCTAGCATGTGCAGTTCCCTGGGTTTGGTTCACAGTCCTGCAAAAGGCTTTAAAAAGCAGAACTATATCAACTACAGCTGCTGCGCATGGTGGCGCACATGTGTAATCCCGGTACTGGGGAGGCTGAGGCAGAAGGATCACTTTGCGCTCCAGTCAGGCTGGGCAGCATAAGCAAGTTCAAAGTCAGCCTAAACTACACTGTGAGACTCTGTCTCAAAAAACGTAAAACCCAAAGCAAATTTTAAAAAAACTATAGCTAAAAATGTGCTAGTAGGCAACCTACTTAAAACATGTAAGTTAGGCAATAACACAATGTGTGCAAGGAATAAAGAACAGACTGTGTGTGTGCTTGAAGCGAACTTATGCGAGTAGCACGGACTGTGTGAAGTGTAGCAGGTCGGCTGTAACCTCACAGCAACCACAGAATAAAAATCTACAGAAGACACAGAGAGGGGAGGAGGCAGGGTCATGCTGGGCACCTTAGAGAAACACCCTGTCAGTATACAATTTGAAAGGGGTTGGGGTGGAGCTCAGTGGTAGAGCACTTTCCCAGGATGCCTGGGAGCCTGAGTTCAATCCATAGCAACTAAGTTAAATACAATAAAACACATGAAATAAAGCAAGAGAAGGAATAAGAAGGAAGTTTATGTTAGAAATTTGTGTGTTTTAAATATGAAAAATTTCAAATAAACAACTTCAACAGGGGTTCCAAGGAACTAGAAAAACGCAAAGAAAAGAAATTCACACCTGTGAGAGTTGGTTTTCAGCCACATTGATACAACTGACTTCCTTACCGGAGAATCTCTGCCTCACCCCTAACGGCCTGAGTTTCCCTAGCACCTTGTGCAGAGTCCGGAGCTGTGGGTATCTCTCCTCCCTGCCCCTGACCTTCATGGAGATTTCTCCCACAGGGCTCCGCGCTTCTCTGCTCTCATTAATCTGCAGCAGGAACCTGCATCTTCCCCGGAGCATCTCCAGGACTGGGGTAGACCGCCACAGTGAGGACGACAGTCCTGTGCAAATGGGCTGAGGGAGGGAGTAGCCCTGTAGGGAGGCTGTGAGAGACAGGACCAGCCCAGGGAAACTGTGCCCTGGAAGGGTCCGCTTGAGAGAGCTCTGGGTTTATTGGCTGCTCTACCCTGTTCATTGAACCCTCAATCAGGAACATTTGGAAAGAAGAGGACCTCTACCTCCGCCTGGAACCCAGCCAGGTTCAGCACTGGGAAAAAACAGCCCGGATGTCTGCGGATGTCAGCTCCGTTTCCTGTGGGGCTTCTGATATGACCATCCTATAAAGGGCAGACACCAGTCCCCAGCTGTGAAACTCTGTGTCAGGCACTGCGGTATCATCCGTCCACACAGCCTCACCTGGAGCTGGGAGATGCCATGACCGCCACACTCATGGCCACGCTCTGTATTGGTGAGAACTGAACGTGGGGATGGGAACCCCTAGTCTGGAACTCCACAGCCAGGCCCTGACCCGTCAGGTGAACAGGGGCTCAAGGGCTACAGTGAGCAGAGGACCTGCCCAGGCTACAGGGGGAAACTCTCACAGAAAACTCTCTTCCAGCGCTCATTCTGGGCCCTAGGACCCGAGTGCAGGCAGGTGAGTGTGTCCCCAGCTGTCCCAGGTCCCTCCTCCTCCTGGGGACAGGGGCCACGCCTGGGCAGTGTGGATGGAGCAGAGCAGGTGTGCACTGGCGCTGGGAGGTCTGGAGGGTCCTGGGGCTGAGAGCTGGGATCTGAGGGGAACAGGAAGTCCTGGGACCCAGCTGTGATTTCCCTGCAGGGACCCTCCCCAAACCCAGGCTCTGGGCTGAGCCACCATCTGTGATACCACGGGGGGGAACCTATAACCCTCTGGTGTGAGGGGCCTCTGGGGGCCCAGGAGTATGGTCTGTACAAAGAGGGAAGCCACGTGTCCTGGACAAGACGAACATCACTGGAACTCAAGAACGGGGCCAAGTTCTCCATCCCATCCGTGACAGAGCAGCATGCAGGGCGACATCGCTGTTTCTACCGAACCCCTTCTGGGGAGTCAAAGCCCAGTGATCCCCTGGAGCTGGTGGTGACAGGTGAGAGGACACTCAGGGTCCTGCTCTAGGTTCTGCCCTAGGGAAGAGGTCTGCTCTCAGGGGTGTCCCCCTCTCACAGCCCAGCGCTGGGGACAACATGGGAGGTGTGAGTCCATTTCACACGCTGCCTCCTTCTCTCCTAGGAGTCTCCAGCAAACCCAGCCTCGCAGCCCTGCCCAGCCCTGTGGCGACCTCAGGAGGGAACGTCACCCTCCAGTGTGGCTCAAGGCTGGGATATGACAGGTTCATTCTGACTGAGGAAGGAGGAGACAAGCTCTCCCGGACCCTGGGCTCGCAGAGAGGCCCCAGAGGGCAGGTCCAGGCCCTGTTCCGAGTGGGCCCTGTGACCCCCAGGCAGAGGTGGATGTTCAGATGCTATGGCAGGTACTGGAGCCAACCCCAGGTGTGGTCGGAGCCCAGTGACCCCCTGGAGCTCCTGTTCTCAGGTGAGCGAGCCCCAGATTTTTCCCTTAATGACTGAGTCCTGACCCAGACACCTTGGAAGGACCTGGTGGTGAGATGCGTGAGGGGCCCAGGGTTGCTGAACTCAGTGACAGAGTGCGGGGCACAGTAAGACCAGAGATGTGGGAACACAGGGAAAGTACAAACCAGAGGGGCCAGGAGGGGGCTGGGTCTGCAGGCGGCTCCTCGGTGTCTTCTGCTCATCCCAGATCAGCCTTAAAGTTGTCTCCGCGCAGGACCCGCTATGCCTGGTCAGAACCCACCACTCCCTTTCTACCTGCATCCTTGCAGGGACCACCCCAAAACCCCAGCTCCGGGCTCAGCCAGGCTCTGTGATACCGGAGGGGAGTCCTGTGACCCTGTGGTGTGAGGGGACCCTGGAGGCCCAGCGATACCATCTGTACAGAGAGGGCAGCCCGGCATTCTCAGTCACACAGACCTCACCCGAGCCCAGGAACAAGGCCAGGTTCTCCATCCCATCCATGAGAGAAGGTGATGCAGGGCGCTATCGCTGTTACTATCGCAGCTCTGCTGGCTGGTCAGAGCCCAGTGAGCCCCTGGAGCTGGTGGTGACAGGTGAGGGGACACTCGGGGCCCAGCAACAGGCTCTGCCCTCAGGAAGGGGTCTGCTCTCAGGGGTGTCCCCCTCTCACAGCCCAGCCAGGGGACAGTGTGGGAGGTGTGAGTCCATTTCACACGCTGCCTCCTTCTCTCCTAGGAGTCTCCAGCAAACCCAGCCTCGCAGCCCTGCCCAGCCCTGAGGTGACCTCAGGAGGGAACGTCACCCTCCAGTGTGCCTCACAGCTGGGATATGACAGGTTCATTCTGACTGAGGAAGGAGGAGACAAGCTCTCCTGGACCCTGGACTCACAGCGAGGCCCCAGTGGGCAGGTCCAGGCCCTGTTCCGTGTGGGTCCTGTGGCCCCCAGGCAGAGGTGGACATTCAGATGCTACGGCTGTTACAGTAACAAACCCCAAGTGTGGTCAAATTCCAGTGACACCCTGGAGCTCCTGGTCTCAGGTAGGAAAGCTCTTTCTTTGACCCAATCATATTTGAGTCCTGAAACAATGGACAGGGCCCTATTAGAGAGCAACCCCGGGAAGAGGTTGGGTCCGGACATCTACAGAGCTAGGAACCTCATGTGACAGTCAGGAAGACACAAGGCAAGACAGGGAGGCAGGGGCACGGCAGAAACCAGCCCCTCAGCCCGGCTCCTCCTCCCTCCAGGGCTGTCCAGGTAGCCCTCCCTCCTGACCCAGCAGGGCCCCATCCTGGACACAACCTGACCTCAGCTATGACAGATTCGCTCTGTCCATGGAGGAGGCATGGGACCTCCTCCATCACGCTGGCTGGCAGCTTCAGGCTGGGCTCTCTCAGGCCCACTCCCCACCCCACCCCCGGGCCCTTGGAGCTCCACCCACAGGGGGCACTGCAGATGCTACGGTGCACACAGCCTTTCCTTGGAGTGGTCGGCCTCCAGTGACCCCCTGGACATCCTGATCACATGTGAGGAGCCCAGGGCTCAGTCAGGGACTCAGGCTCTGCACAGGCCCTGCTGGGGGAGCCCAGGAGGTGACGGCCAGGGTGAGGGTGGGTGTCAGGGAGGGCGACTGACAGAGACAGGGAAGGGCAGAGTCGGAGGAAACAGACAGAGTGGAGGGTAGAGATGCATCCCTGGGGCAGCCCAGTCCCGCACTCCCTGGAATCCTCATTCCCACGATGAGCCCCATCCCCACCCCGGCCTCCAGCTCCACAGCAGGAGTCTCAGGCTCTGTCCCAGTGTCCTGTGTCCAGGCTGCCTGGAGACTCTCAGCCATCTCAGTCCTGCTTCTCTCAGCTCTGCTGGTGTCCAGGGACAGAGAGGTGGGAAAGGAGCCTAGATGTCCAGAGGCTCAGTATCTGGGCTGCATGGGATGGTTTCCAAGCTGAGGGAGATGTTGGGGTCCAGCCTCGGAGAGGAGCAGCAGCTGAAGTGGGGAGCAGGGAGCCCAGCCCCTCACCTCCCCATCCCTCCTAGGGGGCCCTGAGGATCAGACCCTCACGCCAGAGTCCGGACCCCAGGGTGGTGAGTGAGGGCGCTGCTGGGAGGGTCCGGGGCAGGGTGGGGCTGTGGGGCGGGTGCAGCCTCCTCTGGAGACCCTGACTCAGACCAGCCCCTCCTGTGTGGGCCTCAGTTTTACCAGGGGTAAAGGAGAGGCCTGGCCCCGACCTTCAAGTCCCTCTCCTGCTGACCTTGCTGTGAGCCCTGGAGAGGCGGCCTCCCAGGGGAGCCTCCAGGATGTGATTCTGCAATGGTCCTGCCCTCTGTCCAGTGACAGTGAGAGTGGGGGCGGGTGCAGCGCCAGGGCAGGGTGTCCAGGCTCCTTCCCTCCAGATCAGGGGGCTCAGCTCTGCTGGGGAGAGCAGGGCCGGAAGTCCAGCTCCCCAGGTTCATCCCCATCTGGCCTTGTTGGTTCCCTGGGCTGGCAGCCCCGCTCTCTCAGCCTCCGTCTCCTCCGCGGTGACCTGCATGAGGGGGTGCTGACCCCATGGGAGGACTGTCAGTGGGTGAGGTGGGGAATATAAAGACGCTAGGTGGCCTGGCCGCACCAGGTGCTCAGTGAGGTGACAATGTTTTAAGGCAGCTCTCCAGGACCAGTCCCGCAAGGAAATAATCAGGCTGTGACCGGGGTCTCCGTGTCCTCCTCCCTGCTGCTGCTGCTCCTCTTTTTCCTCTTCTTTCTCTACTGGCACCGGGGAAGAAGCAGGAAGGCAGGTGAGTAGGGACCGTGGACTTAGGCCTCAGAAAGGCCGTGGTCCACAGGGAAACCTGTCCAAGGTACAAGTCTGCACTGAATCTCCTGTGCAGAACCCAGAGCAGAGAATCCAGAGCAGAACACATGGCCCTGTCCTGTAGGAGTTTCCAGTGTGCTCTGAGCTTCTCCACCTCAGGCTGCATTAGCTCCCAGGTCCATGTAGTTCAAGACTTCCTTCTGCCCTCTGCGACCTGCGGACCTGGCGGTTCCTACACTCTTGCTGAGACTCTGTCCATCTTCCAGCCCAGAGAGGGGTCAACCTCCCAATTCCTGCAGAGGCTGCAAACCAGCGCCCTAGGACAGAGGCCTGCAGGAGAGGTCATTCCTGCCCAAGGACCCAGACCCCTTGCCTACCACCCTTCCTGACCACCTGACACCCCCTGGTCTCCCCAACTCCAGCATAGCCTCTGCCACCCAGGAAGAAAACCTCTGTGAGAGGAAGGGGGTGTGGCATGCAGAAGCCCAAGGACTCAGCATCACCAGGCCTGGGGGAGGCTGCGGCTCACGGCTGAGTCAGACTGAACCCCAACACTGTGGGCTTGGGGACATCTCACAGCTGCCTGGCTCTGTGTCCCCAGCTGGACAGGGCAGGGCCTGCGGGGCTGAGACACCCCGGGACACTGGCCACAAGGTGACCCCTCTTCTGTCCCTGCAGATGCAGTCATGAAGGACACAGAGCCTGAGGACAGGGTGGAGCTGGACACTCGGGTGAGACCCCACCCCATCCAGGGCACAAACTTCCTGTCCCCCAGTTCAGTCCAGGGCGCTGCTCTGTCCTCCACCACTCAGCTCTCGGGGACCTCAGAGCTGCGCCTCCCTTCTGGAAGCCCCGGCCTCCACCTGCTGTGACCCCACCCTCTGCTGGTTTCCTGTGACCTCGGGTCCCCTCCCTCTGTCCGTCTGTTCCCCACCAAGGTCTCAGAAGGACCCTGAGTGAATGAGCTACCCCAGGCCCCCGAGGCCTCTCCCTCATTCATGCAGCATTCACGGGGGGGGGGGGCTCCCTCCTGACCCGGCTCCATGGGGGCTGCAGATACAGCAGTGAGCACAGCCCCCTCCTGCCTTGAGTCACTTCAAGGTGGGAGGCCAGTGTCACAGAGCACAGAGCTGTGAAAGAACATAAAGCACAGACAGGGGTGGAGGGGCGGGAGGGCCAGTGAGAATCACAGGGAGGACTCTGGTAAGGTGACCGCTGAGCAGAAGCCTGCCTGGAGAGGGCCACAGGGACCTCTAATGCACCAGC